CCTAAATCCATGAAGAGAGACAAAGTGACAGCGATCAGTGAGGTAAGACTTGAACCATTTGAGAATAGTGTCAGAATCTCCATACACGGCCTCAAGACGAGAAAGTAAGATATCATGGTTAACAGTGTCGAAAGCAGCACTGAGATCATGAAGAATGGGGATAGAAAGAGAACCAGAATCAGAAGCTATTAGAAGATCATTAGTGACCAGGGCAGAAATTTGGGAAGTGGAAAATATCACTTGTCATTTTGAAAACATTTTGACGTTCATTTTAATCACATTTTGCTGTTGTAGTTGGAATGGATAGTGAAACACTCATAGTTTGTTAATGTACTGGGTTGCACCCAGCTGGAGCTTTGGTACTGTGGTTAAAGGTTTGCCTACTACTCAAAACGTCCACGAGCCAATTCCCAGTCCAACCAAAGCTTTTTTTTTTAGTCATTCAAATATATAAACTATATTCACATGTCTGATAATTTTACTTATCACACTTTGTCAAATATTAAAATAAGTTTAGTAATAAAGTAATAATAATATGAATGAACCTTCAGACCACCAATCTCCAGGATGCTCGGAAAGAGCAAGGGAATTTCAAGATGCCCTTAACGGAAATTGCAGTTGAGTTTCTTTACGTGTATACAGCAGTTTTAAATACAGATTTTAATGACACTGTGTATTTTTAAAATATGAAATTTACCATCTAAACTTTATTTTTTTTGTAAGTTTTTGGTGCCCTTTTTTCTTCTTAGTATTTGATAAAATTATATCAGATAGAAAGTTCATTATTATATTATTGGTTTTTAAAATTGCTTGGCTTTATCTGAGTTGTTAGAAAAAGTTGTTGGAAATATTGGAGAATGATTACACTTAACTTTTCTGATGTAACACTGGAGAGAGTGTTTCATGCCTTGGTACTGCATTGTGTCCATGCAGAAGGAAGAAGGGTAACTGGGTGTGGCTTCTATTTTCACTCTCTGTCTTCAATACACATTCCCAATTGTCACTGATTTACTGTATCTTAGGATCTCCAATTCCCATGAACTCCACAGGATGTCTTCCTGGTACTACGGTTCCAGGATAGTAATACATCTTGCTGTAAGGTAAGTTACAATACATGGCAAATTACTCAAAAACTACTCAAAAGTTTTGTTTTTAATCTGGCCTTTTAAATATAAAGATGTAGAAACCAAGAGATTTGAGCCTGAAGTGTCTGTTCGTCCAGCCACGCTTTATTGTATGCATACAAGGAACCACAATAAGGACCATAAAAGTTATAGAATCTATCTTAGTGCAAAGGGGATATTAAGAAAGCGTGACGTTCAGAGTTCAGCATGTGAATTCAGCAGGAGTTCACAACTGCTACCACTTGGTGTGGAGTGGTATGGAGTATGGTATGGGTATGGAGTAACACACAGATTCTGCTAGCAGGCTCCATTAAAGATTTTAAAGGCACTATGTCTAATACCTTATTTTTATACTTAAATTCTTAAATAAATACAATAATTCTCAACTGATGAAGTCTAATTCATATTTATATTTTGATCTTTTATTTATATTTTGATGTTTTTTTTTATTATTTTATACAGTACAGTATATCATGCTGTGTTAAATATTCACCTTACATTCACAATCTCTTAAGCCCATAGCAGTACTGGGAACATATCCGATGTTAAATTGAGGAAGGGAGACAATAACTTCAGCCTCAACCCCCACCCAACAGACAGACTGAGAAAGGTGTTTTATCCAGACAAAGGAATGCAGTGTCACAGAGTTCTGTGCATTTGCAAGTTAATGAGAGGCTGTGAGCTACAACTGTAACAAGGTGGCAGAAAAGGGAATATGGATCCTGTGCAGGACTCAGGAGAGAGAGAGAACACTGAAAGTTCCAATCATCCAAATCACAAGGCTAAGACATAAACCAGGAAACAAGCAAGAAGATCCCACAGCAACAAGATAGCAGGAGAGTAACAATCCAAATCACAAGGCCAAATCGTAAACAAGGGGACAAGCAATAATTTCTGATAACGATTAGACAGCAAGAGCATATGACGTGCACAAGGGAGCTCAAGGAGAATCTGTAATAGTGAGCGGGGAAGTGAGAAAAAAGGGGAACTAAAATAGTGATGGGAGTGAACGGCAATAAGCATATAAGTTGTGTTGTTATTAGGGTTCCTGGTAGTAACTCGAAGGCACAGTCGTAGGGACGATGTGGTGACAAGGAAAGTGCTTTTTGCTTGCTGAAAACGAGGTGAAGGTCAGAGTAAAGCGAAGGGATCTTGATGACTTCTTTCTGGGAGACATGGGCAACAGAAAGTCTGAGAGGTAGCTGGCAGCACAGATTAAGACATTGGGGTCCCCAAGCAAGAAGTTCACCATTGGACCAGGAAATGTGGGGATGGTGCTTTTGTAGCCCGGACTGCGCTACAAACCTCCTCATCCGTAAACTTCCTGAGACCGCTGACATCAACCTACTTTTGGCTGCCATGCAATCCATTTTTGGTCAGCTCCATTCCCACCATTTGGCCGTCTCCTGTCTCACCTCTCTCACCCAGGTATCCCATTCATTTCAGGACAACGCCATGGAATTCCGCCTTTTGGCTCCCCAAGTCCCCTGGAATCAGGAGGCTCTCATCCATCAGTTCAGCTGCAGATTGTCCAGTGAATTTAAGGATCACTTCACTTACCTGCCACTCAACCTTCCTTCCTTGGAGAACCTCATCATGCCACTTTGCGAAATTGACATCAGACTTCAGGAATGCAAGTCCAAATTTCAACCCCTTCCCATGTCTCCTCCCACCCCTCTCCACACAACCCCCCTCACTAGGCCACAGACGAAGCAGCGACCTGGTGTTAGGCGGGTCTCAGGACATCCGAACATCAATGCTGATCGCAGGAGAATAAGTGACCTCGAAATATAAAGCCCCAGAGAGAGAGACAGCGGAAGGAGAGCAAAGCACAGGAAACTAGGGACAGGACAGAGTAGGATGCAGAGGGCATGACAGTTTAAGAGTAAATGTTATAGATTTCGTTATTGAGATTTGCTAGTGAGTTTTCATCTGTGTGAATATGTGAGAGGGCTCCAACATAGTACTATGCATTCCAAAAGAAATGCTGTTCTTTTGGGCTCACCTTGGGAGCTCTTCCTATGGCTGGGCTGTCCAGGGTTTCACCAGGCTGCCAATGCTTCAGACCCAGACCTACTTCCTCAGCCTGGTCTTAGACATGTCACTCTAGTCCACCCTGATAGTGAGTGCTGGCCTAGTCTGTGGAGATAACCCCACTATGAGCCTTGTTCAGCCCAGTAAAAGAAACACCATGAGGATGACTATCCCAACTGTGAGTATCCTGCCCAGACTAAGGGCTGGATGCCTCAGCCCTGCTCTGCATCCTGGAATGAAGCACAGCTCAGGACCTGCTTCCCTTGTACTCCTTTCTTGTGTTTTAGTTCCAGCCTGCATCCTGGACGGTTCCAGTGGGTTGCCCAATGTCCTGTGCATCCCTTTCTTTGGGAGCCGAGCTGCAGGAATCCAGACCGAACCTGTCGAGTCCGACACCTCATGCTGCCCTTGCTCCTGGACCCTGACTGCAGATTTGTGCCAGACTGTCTTGCCTCCAGGGTGCAATGAAACTGCCACTCCCAATAGAGTTTAAAGCCCTAGCTCTTGGGTTCATTACATCTACAGAGTATGACCCTGTGCCCCGGGGGATGGAGTTGGTCATAACACCGTGCAGTTTCACAACTAATTTTCAGAATTCACAACTAACTAACAGAAACTTAGAGTTAATCAAAATAATTTTCTTCTAATTGTTATTTAAAATTATTCACTGATTGTTAGAAAAGTGAATACTGTGTCTGATTTTACAATTGGCCAAACAAATTAGAAGATTACAATTTGAAACATAATAGAAACATGGTAAATTAAGACCTCCCAAAATGTTCTTCTTTTTTGTAATCTAAGATTTAACAGGAATGTCGAAACTGGCTTGTCATTGATGAGGAGCACCTCAGCAATTCCCTTGACCCTAAAAGAACTTGTCTGAACTCCATAGTAAATCATTTTTAAGATACCTTGTTTGAGCTGATCTGCTGAGATGTGATTCTGAGCTTTAGCCTACAAATTTACCTGATGCTTTCAAGTCAAAGTCAAAAATTTTCTTTCATTTATTTAAGGATTTGAAGGTCAATTTTTAATATTTTCAAAGACAAAACAGAAGCAGTGTTCTTAGACTTCTCCTTGATAGTCACAGATGTGCAGGACTACATAATTTTATTCTGAATATTTTCTTAGTCCATCCAGTGTATTCTGCACTATAAGATGAAACATCTCCAGCAAGTCATTAAACAATATACCCTTTGTTTTATAGAGAACTGACAGAAACAGGTTAACTTAAATAACCTTGCTTAGTTAACATTTGATTGTGCTTAAAAAAGTGACCTGGTCAAACCTGAGCTATTTTTAGTAAAAGACAAATTAATTGGAAGTCCTCTGTAGATGTATTAGTTTATCTGGATTCTTTCAATTAATGCATTACCTTGAGGGAATTATATCTAGGCCACATTATAATAACTTTTAAGAACAGCATTTCATAGGACTAAAAGTTTCATATTTATACCTTGCTGACAGAATGAATTCTTGGTTTTAATGATGTAAATGAACTTGAAAAATGAAAAAATGAAAATGAAAAAACATTCAGAAAAAAAATATTTTTGATGTTTTAATCCTATTTTGTTAAGAATGAAATAAACAACATTTAAAATGTTTAGTAAAATTCTGTGGCTCAAGTTAAAAAGGGCACACTCTTCATGGTCATTTTTTTTGTAAAAGTATTTTACACAATTTAAACAGTTTATTTGGCCTTCACAACAACAACAAAAAATCCACAATGTCAATGGCTTATCATTATGAGCTCCATACACACAAGCTTAAAGTCAGTGACTCATGATTTCACAAACTAATATCATAGTGACAGTTTAAAAAAGCAACTTCCTGTTTGAAAACCAGTTTTAGAGCTTATGTCTATGAATAAGTTTGATTCCTTTCTATAACAGTACCGCAAGACATTTTCAGACTTTCTTGGTAAGTAGTAGTTAATTTTTTCTTTCCAGTAACAGTACCAAAATGTCTTTGTATAAAATGTGATGCACCTCCTGCTTTTTGATTAATTATAATACCAGCTTGGAAGGTTTATGTAGTTCCTGTCACCAGAAAAAGTCTGGAAGAGAATCATATTGGAATGCACCAGGCTACGGACATCAGCTGTAAACTAACACGTATTGATTGTGATGCTGGGGTCAGTAGGAACACTGTGTTAGCCTGCCTGGTCTTTGCATCTGACACATTGGCATATATTCCATTGGACTGATAAAGGTCAGAAGAACTCTTGATTTTTTTTTTTACGATTTATTTAAGCATCATGTAGTCCTGTCAGTTGGGAGTATCAAAGCAATTATTTTCTAAGAAAATGTAATTCAGAAGTATTATTTCTTAGAATTAGTTTTAGATGACAGAACTAAAAAGATACAATAATTCACAGGGAAACAACAATGAAATATTTGTTTTGGCTAAACAACCTAAAGTTTTCACTGATCTTCTGACTCAATGAAATTGTTAGATTTGTCAGATACCCATTGAAAAAAACGGATAATTGAAGAAATAATTTGCATTTCCTAAAAGACAAAGACCACAATATCTTCCTATTGTACACTCAACAATAACAACAACAACAACAATAATAATAATAATAATAATAATAATAATAATAATAATAATAATAATAATAATAATAATTCTTACAATCCTTATCCTTACATTTTCCAGAGCAGTGCAAATGCACAGACCCGATACACCAGTACACTTCTTCCCTCTACACCCTATTAGCTTTCTTCTTCTACTCCAAACTAGAATTTAGACCATAAGCAGCCATGGTTTCTGCTCTGCGGCTTTACCATTAAAAAAAAAATCTTTTCCATCAGCTATTGATGACTCAAAATGAGTTCCTAAGTTTGAACTTAGATTTTTTACAAACGGCCCCTTTCCAGTGCTTAATTTGAATGTTTGTCATACAGCCATACTTTTGAAAGTATAACTTTTCTGAAATAGACGTTGAAATTTTAGCTGTGTAAGGATTTTTTTGGACACTTTGAATGTTTCACAACTGATTTTGTTTGCAAAATTGTAAAATGCTTAATTTTTTAAGTAAAGGTTCTGGATAGAATTATGATTAAATTGAATATTAAAATGGTGAAAAAACTCCTTTCATTTAAAGATGCAAATAAAGCACTATCAGCTTCTGAAACTTGCTCTTGTTTGATATACAAGCATTTACAAAACTGCACCATTAACTAAATTGCAAAGAAATGAGAAAATACAGGGCTTAGAAATTACAGACAATGGATTTTCCCAAAAAGTTAAAATAACTTGCAGACTCTCCTCAAAATTCATTTCAAGATATTTCAAATATCTTGATATCTCAAGATTTGTAATATCTCCTGTTACGACAATGTTAACACTTTAAGCCGTTAAAAAGAAACACATTGTGTGGGCTGCTTAGTGTCTGAAAGTCCAATGTGGTAACCAAGTCTTTCCAGCTCATGAGCAAAGGAAGATGATCTTGCATCATACAGTATGTGTGCAGACATTTGTAGGGGGTAAGTGCTTTGTTAATCTCTATGGTCTGCTCTTTTATTAATGGTTTTATGTTGATTCTAGAACTTTCATTTAGATTTCTAAATTACACTAACATTGTGTATTCAGAAACCTTTTTTTCAAAGTCAAAGAATCATCTCAATAGCAATATTTTTCTACAGTAGCCCCAAGTTATACATTTATATTCATCCATTTTTATCTCAATCTATCTCACATTAAAGACACCTGTTACTTTAATAATATTACATGTGCTAATAATTCTATGCATTTTATATGGCCTTTTTCTTCATAATATTACATTATGAAAACTATTACAATAATTCAAATAGGTAGCTGCATCAGCATGCATAGGCTTCAAAGGAACAAGTAGTTTATTCCATGCTGAAAAGAGAAGAAATGAAACAACGTTTCGGTTGTGGAAGAGCATCCAAACACCTGAAGAAGGCTCCACAGCCAAAATATTGTGTTTCTTTTCTTATCTTTTCAGCATGGAATAAACCTTTACAATAATATGTGGAAAAGAGGCAACAGACTTTCATACAAATTGTTTGTATCAGATCCGAGGTAAAACAATTAAAAAGAGTGTCAGAGGCCCTAAATATTACTGTACATTGCAGTATTACATCACCGTGAAGGGCAAAGATAAAACCAGCAGATACTCAAAGAGTGCTTTTTATGCCTGTTGATAAGTTTAGCTTTACATTTTTAAAAGCATGAAGTTAACACAAAATAAAATGTATTGCTTTGCCTGAAAAGTTTGACAAAATTCAGGAATCTATAAATCAGTAAGGGAGACTGATTCTACAGTATATGACAAAAGTCAAATTAAATTAAATGAGATGTGAAATGTTCCTTCATATCTCTAAGCTGTACTCCTTGGTGGCTTCATGTGGAACCCTCTTATGGATCTCATAATTTGTCACTATTGGACTTGAATGACGGAAGAATCACAAAAGACCAAGAAAACTGGCAACAAGCACTCTAGCTAAACAGAAGAGTGTTTTTTCAGAAGTGGTTCCAGTGCTTGTTTTAAAATATTGTTCTCATGTGCAGCACAGATTTACTAATATCCTGATTCAAACTAAGATGCATAGCTTTCATCATTGTATATTTTTAACATAATTCTGCAATACATATTGCTGCTTCTAAACACTATGAAAATGCAACAAAACACATTATTAAAAACTATACAGATGCTTCACTTTAAAACATGCTGAAAGATTTAGAGATACTAGCACATAGCTTGGAAAAGTATTCAACATTTACCAATTAATTACAAATTAAGCACAGTATATACATTTCTAAATATCTGTAATAAAACAATAAATAAACAAAAACACTTAAAGTGATGAAAAGAAATTTAATGCAGAAAAACTGCAAAGAAAACAAAAGTATTTCAAATCAACATACAGTACACAATCCAGTCAACTCCATTCCTAATGTCAAGCATTGTGGATGTTGGTTGCAGCACTATGTTATAATGATCCGCCCTGGTGACTACTGCCCACCAGGTAAGGTTTACAGCAAGCAAGGATCCAGGATAAAGTCGATTTCAAAACAGTATTCTCAAGAGGTAAACTGGTAAAAAAGCCAGGCATTTATTAAATTAACAAGGAGCACCACACTACAGTATATAACAATCAATTAGAACTAATCTATAAAATAACCACTTGTTTAGTCCATCAACAAGTTAGAAAGAGTAGATGTATTTTTCTTTCCCTTTACTTTCCACAAAGAATCCAATACTTTATTCCTGATCGAGTCAATGTTAATTGCAGATACTCCTTAATCAGTTTTCCAAGAAGTTAATATAGTTTATAATAACTTAACTTAATAATAAGTTAAAGAGTTAATGATAACACTATCTTCCTTCGTGTTCAAAACTGAATATTCCCATGAGTGTTTAAAACATATTTCAAATTATTCAAAGTCTATGGAGTTTGAATACTACACCCTTGACTTGACTACACCCTCAGTGTAGTCAAGCTTTGTACCAGCATAGGAACTTTGTTAAAAAAATCTGAACAAGAGAAAGAACTGCCCAGGCTCTAGGGCTTCTGTGTGAGTCTCTTTAAAAAAGGTCAGACTCCAACCTCCTCACCTGGGCTCAAAAATAATTAATGCACTACAAGTGCAACTAATTACCATATTACCTTATCCTTATCCTTATTAACAAAAATGTGTAACTGATTTCCTGGAACTATAAATCCAGCAATTAAACAAATTTTTAGTGTGACTTGTGACTTGTGTCACTAAACACCTGTGTGACACAAACACCTGTTTGTGTTTGTACTCCTATAAAAACATTGTATGCCTACAGTTTGGGCTTTTACTGTAAGTGCAGATAACGTTCAGGGTATTTATGAAATCATTCACTTGTAAACCCAGAAAACTGTTGCTAAATCCAGTTCAAGATTTTGCCACATTCTTAGTGGGTTTACATTCACAGAAAATAGTATGTTAAGAAATGTATAGTAAGAAATACATACTGTATACATGCAATAACACATAATCTCCTGATACCATTTTTTTAAGGATGTATTGGTCTTGCAGCTACATACGGTATACACCATTTTAACTGAAAACAAATCTCTCATTGAAAGAAAACCACTTGAGATAGGGAGTTTCTTATTGATTGGAATGATAAAATGGAAGCTATTTTAAAGGTAAACTATAGGTCACTGCTTCACTTTAATTTAAAAATCCTGCTATGTAAGGTGTTATTTTTATTGTATATACAGTATATGCCTTTAGGCACACCATTTAATGGAAAGTAGTTTATGTAATATAGATTATACACCAGACAAAGTCCATTCTGTCAGATCTTAAAATGTAAAAGCTGAAAGCACTGAAGGTCACATTTTTACAGAACTGTTTGTCTTGATTTTTCAGGCTCTAAATATTCATCTAAAATGTTCCCTTTTACTGTGCATTTTTAAAGTTGAACAATTATAACAAGCTATATTCCAACTTTACATTGCATGTAAAATAACACACAAACAACCCACACAAGCCGAAAGAATGGTGTATGATAATGACGGTCTGTTTTCTGCAGAAACAACGATCTAAAACTACTGTTGTTGGTGTTTGTCTCAAGGCTGCTCTGCATTTATGAAGTTAAAGATGTTATATTTTGTGACTTGCACACGTTAATGTGTTCTATTATCTACCCATGCTTCAGGGGACAATTTATAAACTTAACATCAGCAGGCACAGCAGAGGTTCAAACACTGCCGTGCAAATGAGTCAAATTTTTGCATTTGATACAGAACTATCAATTGAATCATGCAAAAGCTATGTTCTAGCAGAAATATTTGTAAAATAACACAATATTGTGATATCTAATTAATAATAATTGATCTTTAAAATAAGAACAATATAAAAATAAAAAAATTATTTGTTATACTGTATATAACATTCTCAATACAGAA